TCCCCAATATACCCTTTCCCTTACTCCCGTGTTTGGTGTGTTTTGTGATGGCCTAACAATGCTGCCATTTGAGGAGTGAACCAGTGGATAGAAGATCTCTTTCTTCCCACCTCTACCTCTGCCTTTCACATACATAAATAAGTCCCCCCCCCAAAAAAAAAAAGAAAGGAAGGAAGGAAGGAAGGAAGGAAGGAAGGAAGGAAGAAATCAGAAGGGCAGGTGTTTAGCCTCTGGGTAGGATGCTTCTTGGGACACCCATACCCAGCTGGAATGTAAGGCTTTGAGACCAGCCTCCTGCTAAGGCAGACCCTGGGAGACAGCAGCGATGGCCAAGTGCTTGGGTCCCTGCCACCCACTTGGGAGTGGAGCTGGATTGAGTTCCCAGCTCTCAGCTTTGGCCTGGCCCGTCCCAGCTGTTGTGGGCACTTGAAGAATAAACCAGCAGATGGAAGACCTCTCTGCCTTCTAACTCTCTGTTTCTGCTTCACAGATACAGAAAAACATTCTTAACAGTCAGACACAAACCCATCAGTGGTGAAAGGGAGAGGATCAGCTGGAGCTGGAAGTGGAGGGAGAGAAGCCGGGGAAAGGGCAGGAGGAAATCAGAGGGGCTGTATTGTTGGGATGGCTTCCCCAGGGTGTGCATGTCTGGGATTCTACCAAACCGTGTTCTCCGAGTGGGCGTGGCGTCCCATACAAGAGCACTTCAGAATGCTCATGGAAAGTGGCATTGCAAGGTAAATTTAAAAAAATAAGTTTATTTTGATGCAAAAAATGGAATTCTTGTGTATGAGAGGTCTTCACACAATCCATGGAAGCTGCATATTAGTAAATGAGTTCTGCAGTGCCGGAATCCCTTATGGGCACTGGTTCAAGCAGAAGATGGCCCAAGTGCTTGGGCCCCTGCTCGTGTGTGAGAGACCCGGAGGAAGCTCCTGGCTTCAGATCGGTGCAGCTCCAGCCATTCCAGATGGCAGACCTCTCTAACTCTGCCTCTGCCTCTGCCTCTCTGAACTCTGCCTTTCAAATAAATTAATTAATTAAACAAATTTTTTGGTATCAAAATAATTTTTTTTTAAAAATTGTTTCTTTGAAAGGCAGAGTTACAGAGAGAGAGAGGAGAGACAGAGAGAGAAAGAGATCTTCCATCTACTGGTCCACTCCCCAAATGGCCACAACAGCTGGAGCTGCGCTGATCCAAAACCAGGAGCCAGGAGCTTCTTCCAGGTCTCCCACGTGGGTGCAGGGGCCCAAGCACTTGAGCCATCTTCTACTGCTTTCCCAGGCCACAACAGAGAGCTGGATCAGAAGAGGAGCAGCCAGGATGTGAACCAGCGTCCATATGGGATGCCAGCACCGCAGGCGGAGGATTAACCTACTATGCCACAGCGCTGGCCCCAAAATAATATTGAAGAGAATGAATAGGGGCTGGCGTTGTGGTGCAGCAGGTTAAGCTGCTACCGTTGAAGCTGCCATCCCCCTATATATTCTGGCTGCTCCACTTCCAATCCAACTTCCTGCTAATGCACCTGGGAAAGCAGTGGAAGACAGTTAAGAAAAAAAAATCTTTAAAAGGCCAATAAACAGGACAGGATGTCTTTGCATTAGGGAAATGCAAAACAGATGCCAGTTCTCACCTCATCTATGAGGGAGGTTATTACAAAAAAATAAATAAATAACCAAGGGTTGCAGGGGACAGGGAGAGACTGGACTCCTTGATGCACTGTTGATGGGAAAGCCAGGTTGGCAAGTCCTCAAGAAGTTCAACAAAAGGCTACTCCAGCATTCAGCAATTTCACTCTCAAGGGTTCTGCTTCCATGGAAGAACTGAAATCGGGACCCAAACAGATACCTGTACAGCAGTGTTCACAGTGCCACTATTCACAACAGCCAAAAGATGGAAGGAACTCAAGTGAGGGTGGGTAAACAATGTGGCAGAAACAGACAACGGAACGTCAGTCAGCTTCAAAAAGGAAGGGAGGGGCGGGCACTGTGGTGCAGTGGGTTAAAGCCCCGGCCTGAAGCGCCTGCATCCATATAGGCACCGGTTCTAGTTCCGGCTGCTCCTCTTCCAAGCCGGCTCTCTGCCGTGGCCTGGGAAAGCAGTAGAAGATGGCCCAAGTCCTGGGCGGGACAGGGCGGGGGCACAGGAAGTCAATTCATGGGGAGCAGAGTTTCTGGGGTGATAGAAAAGCTATGGAAAAAATTTTATTTTTTTTTGAGAGGCAGAGTTACAGAGAGAGAGAGGGAAAGACAGAGAGAAGACTTCTATGTGCTGGTTCACTCCCCAAATGGCCACAATGGCAAGAGCCGAGCTGATCTAAAGCCAGGAGCCAGGAGCTTCTTCCGTGTCTCCCTGCAGGACCAGGGGCCCAAGCACTTGGGCCATCTTCCACTGCTTTCCCAGGCCACAGCAGAGAGTTGAATCGGAAGTGGAGCAGCTGGGACTCGAACCGGCGCCCATATGGGATGCCAGTACCGTAGGTGAAGGCTTAGCCTACTATACCACAGGGCAGGCCCCAAAGCTTAGGAAACTGATGATGGAAATGATTATGTTCATGTAGCTAGGTAGACAATAGCCTATGTGTGTGGGGAGGCTGAGGATAACGGGAATTTCTGTGTGGTTGAATAAGAAATGCGGAAGAAAGCAGAACAGCAATTATATATGTCAAGTGCTGCTCTTGTTAATGACCTTGTTAGGTGGGTCCCAACCCTATCCCAGGGGGCAGCTGGGGGGGGGGGGGAATCTTCCCCACCCACACCAAGGGGGCTTGTAGGTGCATTGTGAATGTCTAAGAGGAATTTCAGGAACTCCGCATCCCAGAAAACCCTCCACCCAAGAATGATAGCCGAGGGGAGGGAGGGGGAGGAGAAACAGAGGGCCTGCACCCAACTTTTATAGTAACTCCAAACTGATGCAGACCGGCCCTAGCTTCCTTCCTGAGACGCACACCTGCCTTGTCAGGTGTACTCTCTTCATGTAATTTGGTGGGGCTGGCACTGTGGCTTAGTGGGTAAAGCCTCTGCCGGCAGAGCCGGCATCCCCTATGGGCACCAGTTCGAGTCCCTGCTAATGTGCCTGGGAAAACAGTAGAAGATGGGCCAAGTTCTTGGGCCCCTGCACCCACATGGGAGACACAGAAGAAGCTCCTGGTTCCTGGCTTTGGATTGGCACATCTCTGGCCATTACAGCCATCTGGGGAATCAACCAGTGGATGGAAGATCTCTCTCTCTCTAACTCTGCCTTTAAATAAATAAGTAAATCTTATAAAGAAAAAAGAAAGTTGACTAGCATGCTTACTGTTACCCTGAGTTCTTTTTTTTTTTTTTTAAAGATTTTTTATAAAATTTATTTGAACAGCAAAGTTAGAGAGAGAAGAGACAGTTCTTTGATCCACTGGTTCACTACCCATATGGCTGCAATGGCCAGAGATAGGCCAGTTGGAAACCAGGAGCCAGGAGCTTCCTCCAGGTCTCCCACGTGGGTGCAGGGGCCCAAACACTTGGGCCATCCTCTACTGCTTTCCCAGGCGCACTAGCAAGGAGCTGGATCGGAAGTGGAGCAGCCGGGACTCGAACTGGCACCCATATGGGATGTTGGCATTGCTGGCAGAGGCTTAACCTGCTAAGCCACAATGCTGGCCCCATTTTTGAATGATTTATGGCTAGAAGACAAGGACCTTATTTCATGCCACCAAGTTGGATACCCAAGAGTGGCTAGAATGGCAAAATTTCTTTATTTGATTATATTCATTTAAAGAAAAGAAAAAAAAAAAAAAGGTTCGTGCCTGGCCCAGTTGGAGGTGCCTTTGCACAGGCCTGCTGGGGCTGGGCTGGCTGTGGGCCGAGAGCCTGGCCTTGACCGGAAGCTGCTCAGAGCCTTGAGGTTAAGCTGCGTTGACGGGAACTCCCCCCTCTGCCCTGAGGGAGGAAGTTTAAATGATCAGGTCAATTAGGAAAGACACAACCGAAAAACTCCAAGTTTCATTCACACTTCGCGGGGGCGTTTCCTGGCCGGGTGCCACTTTTTATTATTTTTGGCCCGGGCATTAGAGTCGCACAGACCCGGGGCGGGGCGCGGGGGGGGAGGTACAATGTCATCTTTGATTCGCGTCCGAAGGATCAAAGCCAGTAAGTCTGGGTGTAAATGCAGATAACATTTCAGAGATCTTTCATGAAAGGAGTCGCTGGACCAGGACAAAAGGGAGTCGGTGTGTTCTGTGTGTTCGCCTTGAGCAGCCTTATCTCCCAGGGGAGCCCCAAGGACTCCGGGCCTGCATCCAGGTCCTTGACCCGAGGGCTTGCAGGTGGGGTGGGTTTCCAACCGGCACGCCCATCCCCCTCTAGTCTGGACACCCAGAGGATCCGTGGGGTCCGCCGGCTTGTCAAAGCGGGAGCTGGGCGCGCCCCACGGGGGTATCCTGGCAGCCTGCCCTCATTGTGCGCTCCTCTCTGGGTCCAGACTCGTCTCGGGGAGGGGCAGCACACCCCAGCCCCGACGAGGAGTCTCACACGCCTGCCCGCCTCTGCTGCCTCGGGTAGGCTGCCTGCGGGCGGTCAGACACACCCGTGCCGGCCCACGGGGCACCCACGAGGCTCAAACGCTCTCAGATCCTCAGGCTGCTCCCACCTCCCCCGGAGCCCTCCGGTCGCGCAGCGGGCGCCAGGGCAGCTAATGGCGGGGACGCGGGGGGCGGCCCCTGCCACGGCCCCAGGCACTGAGGGATTTGAAACTTCTAGGAGCTTCTCCTCGCCTGCGCACGCAGCCCCGCCTGCTCTCGTGGCACCCGGCGCGGCGTAGGTGTCGCGCTCCCATCGCCCCCCGCGCCGCGCTGCCGCGCTGGCAAGAGCTCGGGAGCGCCTGCGCGGCCACAGCCCCACGGAGTACGGCGCAGGCGCGGCCGGCGGAGCGCGCGTGCACGGCCCGCCGGGGAGGCGGGCGAGGGGGCGTGCCGGGAGCTTGCGCGACGACGCAAGGGTGTGGCCGCGCGCACGCCGGGGGCGTGGCCTGAGGCGCCGTCGGCCTTTGCGCGTCGCGCCGCTGCGGAGAGGGCGTCGTCGTCTTGGGCTGGCGGGTCAGTGTGGCCGCGGGCGCTCGGGCGGCACGCGTGCGCAGGCCCGGAGCTGCGCCATTGCCTCCTTTCCCGAGTCCCGGCCCGCGGAGGGGCGATCGGGGCTCCCGGTCTGGGTTCTGGTCCGTCTCCGGCTGGCACGCCACACTTTCTGGGTCCGCGCCGGGGGTTCTGTGGGTCGTGGGGTTGGGTAGGGGCGTGCGGAGACGACTCTGGGTCGGTTCCTGCCGTCCGAGGGGGCAGCTCTCGCCCCCGTGCCTGCTCTCACGGCGTCCCATCTCGTTCTCCGCACTGCAGGTGGCGCCTGGACTCGCCCTCGCCGTCGCCCTCCCGGTCTGTGGCTGCGGAGCGCCTGGACCCCGTCTTTGCGGTAGGTGGGTACGTGGCGGACGGGGGTGCTTGTATGCTCGTCTACTTCCTGCATGGCGGCCGCAGGGCGGTGGGCGGGCGGTGCAGTCGTCTGCCTTCCACTGGCTTCGAGGCTTCGGGCAAGTCCTGCTCTCGGGGCCCCTGGGGTCTCCTCGGAGAAGGGGACGCTCCGGCGTCCCGGGCGCTGCCTTTGACTTTGCACATGCGCCGTGTGGTCCCGCTGCTCTTTGCCTGTAGAGCGCTGTCCAGTCCAGGAGAAGGGCCGCAGTCCCCCAGGTGCCGGGCGGGCAAGGTGGCGGAGAGGAAGCAGCCAACCCCAAATGATCGCTAAGGCGAGGGAAGTGGTGGGCGAACAGGGTTCTCAGAAGGGCCGAGAGGTGCAGGGCGGGCGGGCGGGGGAGCACACAGGTGTACCGGTGGGCCGGCAGGGCCACCGTCCGGAGTGGAGGCGGTGGGACGTCGAGACTGGGGACAAGGGAAGGCAGAGGTCTGGGTAGCGCAGTGGCTCCTGGGCATGGGGTTGTGGTCTTCTGGGGGCAGCTGACGCCTAGCCTTGTCCTAGGTGGGTTAGAGCTCTGTGAAGGGCAGGTACTGTGGGCGGTACTGCTGCCAGCCAGCTAGAGTGTGTTGTATTTTTTTTTTTCTTGGAGCAGGTAGGCCAGGGTTAAGAGCTGGGGTTTCAGGTGGAAGACATCCCCCGCCGTGGGGCCCACATCTAAAAGGTTCCAGGGAGGTAGGGGGTGGCAAAGGCAGGTGATGCTGGTGGCCCTGGCAGTTTCAAGTGTGGCAGAGCGCCCTAGGGGTGCTGGGTGGAAGGAGCCAGCATTGCCACACCTCCCTGGCGGCGCATGCTGTGATGGAGGGTGGGATGCAAGTCGGAAATCGGGCGTGCAGACCCTGTGTGCGCCTAGATGCTGGCTGAGCGAGAGCCGGGGTGGAACAGAGGGGTTCTCACAGAGGTCCTGAGTGAGCAGAGATGGGGGAGGGGGCGCTGCACTTGACCTGGACAGAGCGATAGCCTCGGAGGAGGGTTCCGTGTCCTGGCAGAGCTGTCACTGCTGCTGTCTGGTGATCTCTGGAGGAGGGGCAGGTCCAGCCGCTAGATGGGGGCACTCCAGGCTCTTGGCAGGGGTGACTGGAGAGGGGGCGGGTGCAGTGAGGAGGACTCCGGGATTTTACATTAGGCTGCTGGGCTGTGACTGGGAATGGAGGAAGGTGGTGCTGGGGTGCGGGTGGCACTCAGTGCTGGGAGAGGTGAGTTTGGAAGGCATTGGGGAGGGCCTGCAGGAAGCAGGTAACAGCCAGGCACCCTGTTTCTGTTGGGTGTGCCTTGGGCTGGGCCAGGCCAGGCAAGAACCTCATGACACGCTCTGGGCACGCAGTGGTTCATGGTGTTCGGGGCTGCCGGACGCCCACTCAGCCAGCCTTGAAGCCTGGCGTGTAGCTTGTGTGACGTGTGGTGGTCGTGCCTGCGGTCTCTAGAGGCGGGTGCTGCTGGCTCTGCGACTTCTGGTTGGTGTGTGGCCCCCAGCCACGCCGTGTCACCGCAGTGCCAGGGTGATGATGGTCACACTCATCGCATGGCGGGCTGGGAGGGGTGTTGTTGGCACGACTGCAGCCCTCTGGGACATCTCCACTCCTGTTGTCCTGGGAGTCCCTGACAGTTAACACCTGGCCCACGTTCTCCTGGGATAGACAGCATCTCGCATCGGACCTAGCCCTGGCAACGTCACAGGTGGCATTTGCCTGTTCCCGTGGACTCCCCCGGCCAGCCACCCCGGGCTGCTCTATGCTCTCCAGGCTCCTACCTGGGTCTCAGGGGTTTGCCTGCTTGCTCCCTCCTGCTGCTGGCCCGTGGTGGTGATGGTTGGGCCTAGTTCCCGCTTTCCCACTTGTCTTTGGACAGATTGCCTCGGAGGATGGCCTGCGTCTGACAGTCCCCTCGGCTCAGCTCGGCCCGGCTCGGCTCAGCTCTCCTGAGGCCGCAGCTGCCAGCTCCCGGCTCTGCCACGTCCCATTCAGCCACAGCCCGTGGTGGCCTGTGGGCCTCTTCTATCCACACCCTCCCTCCTGCGCCAGCTCCTGTCTGCCCTCTGCTCCCAGCATGCCTCGCGGACGGCGCTGGCGGCAAGGCCCTCGTAACCCCATCCGGGCAGCAGCCAATTACGCCAACGCGCACCCCTGGCAGCAGATGGACCGGGCCTCTCCTGGGGTGGCGTACACCCCCCTGGTGGACCCCTGGATTGAGAGGCCCTGCTGTGGGGACCCTGTGTGCGTGCGCACAGTCATGGAGCAGAAGAGCCCGGTTAGTGGTGCTCCCAGTGGTAAGCCCGCCCAGAGGGGTGCCCCGGCGGGGCGCATGCCTGGCCCCTGGCCCCTCAGGGTGGATTTCCACTGGGTGCCAGGCTCAGACCCAGGCACCTTTGATGGCTCCCCCTGGCTGCTGGACCGCTTTTTGGCCCAGCTGGGTGACTACATGTCCTTCCGCTTCGAGCACTACCAGGACAACCTCAGTCGTGTCTGTGAGATCCTCGGGCGCCTGACTGGCCGCGCCCGCGCCTGGGCAGCCCCCTACCTCGACGGCGATCTGCCTCTGCCTGACGATTACGAGCTCTTCTGCCAGGATCTGGAGGAAGTTGTTCAAGACCCCCACAGTTTTGCTGAGTACCGCGCCGCAGTGCCCTGCGCCCTGCCCCCGGCCTCGAGCCAGCCGCCCGTGGCCTCGCAGCTGCCTGTCGTGAGGCAGTACTTAGCTAGGTTCTCGGAAGCCCTGGCTCTCAACATGGGTGCTGTCCCCAGGCCTGCCCCAGCAGTGCCGGCCACCCCTGCTGTTCCACCTAGACCTGCCTCTGCACCCGGAGATGGCCTGGCTGAGCAGCAGCTGGCCAAGGAGGGCGCCCCTGGGCCCACCCCTGCCCTCTCTAGTTCCGCCAGAAGCGCTGGTGCTGTGGGGGCAGCAGCCCCCAAACCTGCCCCTGTACTTTCAGAATCCGTGAGACCCCTTGCCCAGAAACCGGACCTGACTTGTACAGGGGGTCCAGAACCCCAAAAAGAGGTTTCTGATGCGCAGGGAGATCCGGAGGTGTCCTCGGGTGCCCCACAGGAAGTGGTGGGTACCCCGGGGGCCCCAGGGGGGGCATCATTTTCTTCTGTTCCGCGGCCCACATCCCTGGGTTCTGAACGTGACCCAGGCAGTGGTGGTGCCCCTTGTGACGAAGCAGCCTGTGAGGCCGGGGAGCCCCGGGACCCCCACTTGGGGCAGAGTGATGTTCCCACTGGTCCAGGTGACCTCACAGCCGGTTGAGGATGCGCACCTGTTCAGGCCCTTCCATGCCTGGGCACAAGCCACTCCCTGTCCCCCAGCCTCTGCCCCACGCCCTCCGTCTCCTGTTTGCTCCAGGTGCCCAGCTGCGTCCTCACCTGGGAGTGCTGCCGTACCTGGACCTCTTCCCACTGGGACATCGCTCCCTGGGTCGTCCCCTGTCGGGCGTTTGCATCATGGTCACCTAATGAAAGGTGCCTTGTGTCCAGCACTGGCTAGGACAGGACTGGGCTGGGTTCCTGTCCTGTTTGGGTGTGGTCGCTGCCTGGTGACTGCCTCTGGTCCTGTCTCTCCCCCCACATTTTTGTACCATTTCATTGTAGAGGGAACTTAGCTAACGACCCGCTGTATACACGCGGCGAGTAGTGATTAGGCCAGGGTGGTTAACATTCCTGTCTCCTTCAACAGGGGTCATTTCTTTGTGTTGGGAACCTTTGAATTCCTGTCTTCCAGTTCTCCCATACACATGGTGCTCTGTTGTATGCGTAGTTGCCCTATTGTGCTGTGAACACTAGATTTTATTTTTTGTACTTGGATGCCCTGTGTCCATCGTCCCTCTCTCCCTCTTCCCGTTGCCCTAATAGCTTTTATAATCCCCTCTTGCTTCCATTAAATCCACATATGAATGAGGTCATGTGGTATTTTTCTGTGCCTGGCTTATTTCACTTAATGTTGTCCTCCAGGTTCACCTTCATCGGGGTGCCACAAGCAACAAGGTCTTTTTTTTTTTTTTTTTTTGACAGGCAGAGTGGACAGTGAGAGAGACAGAGAGAAAGGTCTTCCTTTGCCGTTGGGTCACCCTCCAATGGCTGCCACGGCTGGCGCACTGCGCTGATCCGATGGCAGGAGCCGGGTACTTCTCCTGGTCTCCCATGGGGTACAGGGCCCAAGCACTTGGGCCATCCTCCACTGCACTCCCGGGCCACAGCAGAGAGCTGGCCTGGAAGAGGGGCAACCGGACAGAATCCGGTGCCCCGACTGGGACTAGAACCCGGGTGCCGGTGCTGCAAGGCGGAGGATTAGCCTAGTGAGCTGCGGCCTTTTTTTTTTTTTTTTTTTTTTTTTTTTTTTGTAATGCTGTTCCATCACCTAGCCTATGTTGCTTGACATTTTTTTTTTAAGATACCTGACTTCTTTTTTTAAATTTATTTTATTTTGAAAGGCAGAGTTACAAAGAGGCAGAAAGAAAGAGGTCTTTGATCTGCTGTTCACTCCCCAAATGGCTACAACAGACGGAGCTGGGCCAATCTGAAGCCAGGAGCTGCTTCCTGGGTCTCCCACTGGGGTGCAGAGACCAAAGCACTTGGGCCATCTTCTGCTTTCCCAGGCCATAGCAGAGAGCTGGGCCGGAGTGAAGCAGCCAGGACTCAAACCGGTGCCCATATGGGATGCCAGCCCTGCAGGCAGCAGCTCTGTTAGCTGTGCCACAGCACCGGTCCCTGTGTTATCTGTGCCCCTTGGTTGATTGCCTGTCCTGGCCATCGTGAGTGGTGTATCCCAGTGGGACGGTATCTTGGCTGAGAGTCCAGCTTCCCTGTGGGTTTACTGTGGCCTGATCTGTTGAGGTTTGGGTGCAGGAAGGAGGGTTGCAAGCCCCTTGGCCAGCTTACCTGTAGGCACGCTCCCTGCTGTGGAGTGGGTGACACACTGGCCACACCTGGTTCTCATCAGATGCTGGGGTGGGACTCAGTGCCTCCTTCCCTCTGGCACTGGCAGCCCCTTGTACATCACAGATTGAACCCTTGAAACCCCCAGTTTTGTAAATGACATGGGAGCCACTACGGCAGGGCAAGGGCTGTCTTGGCTTTGGGTCTGTGGTACACAGGTGCTCATTAAACGTGTGCTGGATCCACGGCCAAGCGTGTGGTGTGGTGTGGCTGTCGCAGCGGCTCAGGTCAGTATCAGTGTTGTGTTTCCCCTGGGGCTCTGACTCAATGTTGTGGGGGCCGGGGCCCCTTGCAGCAGCTTGTGGGACCATCTCCCTTGAGAACAGGACCCTCCTCCCCATAGCTGGAGATGAGCTGTGAGGCCCCAGGGAGGGGATTGGAGTGAAGAAATATCCGTTCTGGGACAATAGCAGTTATTTTAAGAAAAAGCAAACATCTGGAAATTGTTGGGGGTTATTAGATAACAGTCACTTTAAAAAAGGCTCTGGGTCCCTTTGGTTTTATGTGTGAGCTCCAAGGCGTGGATAGCTTGGAACTCTGAGAATAAGTGGGGAGTAAACCTATGCCAAGTAGACAGAAGCAGCCAGGGTGGAGGCTGGATTGCGGCGTGATGCGGGAAGGGCCTCTGTGCCAGGTCACAGCGCTGGGATGGCCTGGCCGGCGGCTCTGGCTGTGGGGGTTGCCACCTGCATCTCACTGGCCTCTGCACAGCTGCCTTCCCTGTCTGCATTTAGTGGACTTGAAGTGAATCCCTGCAGCTTCTCTGCTGACCCTGTCCCAGGGGGCAGCTCTCGGGGGCGTGGCTCATACACGCCATACCTCTCCCAGTGCCATCAGTGGCAACCCAGGCAGGCTGGAGAGTCCCAGGTGACCTGGTCTTAATTTGGAAAATGGGTCCTGTTTATTGCACTTGGGCTTTTGCCACTGTGGAGAGGAAAGGGGGATGACCGCAGGTGCTTGTGTGGGTGGGGTAGAGGAGGGGGCGGCGCTCTGGCCTAGCCTTCCAGACAGACAGTGCGAATCCTGCCCGCACTGAGGAGCCTTCCTGCTCCCAGGCAGGGGAAGGGACGAGGGCCTGGGAGAGGAGGCTGTGGGCCTCCTGCCGCCCGCACGTGGGCCAGCAACCTGGAGGAGGGGACTCTGAGCTGCAGTCTGCAGTGGCGAGCTCCAGCATGGCCAGGGTGCTGGGCCGGCCTCCAGCGGCTGTCCCTCACTTCCTTTGGCGACATTCAGTTTTTACTTCCCAAGGATAGGACGTGATGAGCGCTAAGGGGATGGCTTTCAAAGTGCCCGTCTCCAAGGAGAATTCTAAAACAGGAAGTCCAGGACATGAGGGCCTGTGAGATGCTGGGATGGTTTAGAAAGCTGCGTGTTTAAAGCACTTGGGTATCGGTGTAGCAGGGAAAAGAGAATTTGGAAATGGAGCCACAGAAGCATGGAGATTTAATACACGCTGTTGGTGAGGGGAGGGGAATGGGTTAGTCAGGACAAGCAGCTGGGTGACCGCTGGCTTCTGGGAAATAGGAAAGCCAGGTCCCTGCCTGTATCGCAGGTACGTTAGATTTCCTTGAACAAAAACCTTGAAGTTGCACAGGGAGACATGGGTGGGTTGTGTTCCCTGTTTGAGCTGCTTGGGGTTTGCTGATGGGATGGAGAAGTAGACTTCTCTTGGCAGGAGTGCGAAGGTGATTTGTCCACATAAAGGTTCTAGGCGCACTTGCTTGCACTCTCTGAGCTGGCCAGTCAGTGATTGGTGCTCACAGAGCTGTGATGAGCTCTACGTGAGGACCACGTCCACCCCTTCCCTTTCTAGGACCTCAGCTGTGGTGGCTGCCTCGCAGGGTTCCATGCAGTAGGAACAGCTGAATGAGAAAGCTCAGGTACCCGGTCCCAAGGAGCAAGCACATGGAGCTGCTGCCCGTGGTGTCAGCAGGAGCCAGGGCGGCCCTGGTTACGCGGTCCCCGATGAATACCTCCCATGTTCAGCAGCCCCGCTGGGTTCCTGCTCATGCCACACACCCACCCTGGGTGCACTGGGCAGGGTTCTGCTGCCTCAGTCCCCTGGGGGCCCAGGTTTCCCTGCTAACCCAGAGGCAGGAAGGACCGTAGCCAGCCACAAGTGACACGGGGCTGGGCTGGAGTTCCAGACGCCGAGGGTGTGGAAGCCCCTTGAGGCCCAGGGCCTGCAGGACTGGGGCGTGTGAGTAGCCAGCAGATGCTCTGCTGAGCCTGTGCCACGCTGCAGGTGGGGGCCGAGTCTCCCCACCTGACCCTGGCGCTGGGCAGCTCGAGCAGATGTTTGCGGTCTTCAGTTCCAGAGGCTGCAAGACCAAGACCAAGGTTTTGCTGGCTGGTCTCTCCTGACGCCTCTGCTTGGCTTGCGCGGTGCCCCCCTGAGTCCCTTGTGTGTACCCTGACTGGACACCAGTCAGCTTGGTGAGAGGGTGGGGCCCACACCCACACCCCAGTTACCTGTTAGAGGGCCCTGTCTCTGAATACAGCCCCATGCAGGAGTTAGGACTGTGGGGTCCCAGCAGAACAGCCAGGGGAGGGACACCGCCCACCCTAGAACAGGGCCCAAACTGGGCGCCTGTGCTTTGCATGTTTGCAGTTTTGAACAGTGCCGGGGTGCTGAGTACCCGGGCCTGTGTGAGAGGTGAGATTGCCCTCGGTTCTGTGCCCGAGGCTTTTTCTTTCTTCAGAAACAATGTCTTAGTCCCTGCCTGGCTGGATTAAGATGCCGCTCTGTGCTCCCTGGGTTTTGCTGTTCACATTAAACCTTGAGTGCATTGTCAGTGGGGCTGGTGTGAGGGAGGAGCTGCGGTCCTCATGGCCGTGGGCCCTCTGCCGCTGTGATGGGTGTGTAACATGAGCAAGAAATAAATTTTTGATGTGCGAAGCCAGTGAGCTGGGACTGGTGTTTTCCATCCTGACTGGCAGGAGGTCCATGTCTCCTGTCCCCTGCATCCACTGCTCGGTGCCTTTGTCCTGCTGCGCTGTCCCTGTCACACACGCCTGGCTCTCTGCTGCCATCCCTCTGCACTGCTTGCTTGACTTGGAGTCTCCATCAGATGAAACAGGCTGGCTGTTAAAGCACAGAGCAGACGGGGCCCTGGGAGCCCGCAGAGCCTCCGTTCCTCCCTGGGCCGTGGTGGCCTCTGGATGACGGGCATAGTGCCTGCAGCACGGCCGTTCCTTCCCTCCTGTCCCTGGCCCCCCCGCCCCCCAAGACCAGAGTGATGGTTGCTCCTGCATTGCTGCATTGCTGGGTTCTTCCAACTCCTTGCTGGTGGGGCTGTGCGGGGCAGGGGGAGGGGAGAGATGAGTGCAGAGGGACTTCTGACTACCCCCACCCCATTCTGTCCCTGCAGCGCAGGGTGTCTGGGGCCTTGGGGGCTCCTGGCCAGGGTGGGGTCTTGCAGCCTATGGGCCACGGGGGTGGTGCTGTGTTACTGGCTGTGCAGGTGGGGGTCCCTCAGCGAGGGAAGTGCTGGCTGCTGCCCTCGTCTGCACATGTGTAGACCTGGCTGTGGCAGATGTGTCACCTGCATGTGTGGGAGTGCGCAGCCAACAGTGCCCTTGAGTGGGTGCTTGAGTCCATGGGGCATGCTCCTGGCCAGCCACACTGCTACCTGTGCATGTGAGGAAAAGTCCCCCTCCCCCCGAGGTGACCCCTGCCACAGGAGGAGCCTTGCCTGGGAGCCCTTGTCAGGAAGTGTCCCCACCACAGCTGGACCTGTTGCCCGGGCGCCAGTCTCAGGGGATCGTTCCCCATCCCACACAAGTGGGCATTGTCTCTGCCCTCAGTGGGGCAGACAGCAGAGCCGGCTCCAGTGCTGGTGCTTGCTGGCACACAGGAATGGCCACGCTTCCCATAAACCAACACGTGTTCTGTTCTCCCCGGCCCCACTGCTGGCCGGGTTCCCACCGCTGCCTGTAAGGGGTGTAGGCCGGCTGACAGCGTCCCAGTTGGGCTTCCTTCCTGCCCTCCCCCAGCTCAGCCTGCCCTGTGGCCCAGCAGCCCCCTTGCCTGGGTACTTCCTCTCCGCTCCCGGTCTCCAGCAGTCTGCCCTGCAGCTTCAGGGAGCCTAAGTGTGGGGCTAGCTGGCCCTGTATTCCCCACGTGCCCTGCCTTTTATACCTCACCAAGGAAGAAGGGAACCTGGGTTCTCATCTCCCACTGCCCTGGCCTGGCCCTGCCAGTGTGACGGTGGGGGCCTGGGTCATCTGGCAGGGACTTGGTAGCGCCGCTGGGGAGAGGAGCAGGCCACAGGAACTGGCTCCTGCTTGTGGTCAGTGCTGTACCTGGTGCCCTGGCTGTGTGTGGCTCAGCGCCCCCTCCTGGACACTTTCCCAGAGCCTGTTGTGGGCCGCTGTCAGTCAAGGCTACAGCCTGCCTGGCCCTCCTGGAGACACATGTGCTAACATGGGCCTGGAGGCGCCCTGCCCTCTGAGGGGAGGGGCTGTTGGGGTGCCTTATCACCCATGGGACTCTGCCCTGGGGGGAGGGGAGGGGCTGTTCTTGTGCTGTGCACTTGCTGCCAGGGCGGTGTGTGGGTTGGGGGGGGTTGCCCAGCTCCCACCACGGCAGCCGCCCTCCTGCCTCCCTGGAATTCCTCCCCGGGATCTGCATCTTTGAAGCCGCTGCCTCCCTGCCCGCCTGGGCGCTCCCAAAGGCGGATACTGACAGAGGATTCAATGCATCGAAGGTCGCCAGGCAGGGTGTTGACAGATGCCCGGCCACGATACTATTTCTGATTTAATAACCGAATGGGAGGCTGGCCCTTTGTAATAATTAGGGCTAATTACTGAGGAGGTGTTGACAGACGGGCTGAGAGGAAACAAACTACCTTTATCCCGTGGCTTAGAGTCAGATTACCGGCCCGGTGCTATCTGCCCCTCAGAAAGTAGGCGCTTCAATCACTCAGCAAGGCTTCAAAGGGGAGAGGGCCTGACAATGCCCGGATTTGGAACAGAGCTATGAAGTGCGCCTTTGACTCCACAGCACCCAGTGCAACCCGGGCCCGAAATGGGGCCTTTGTGGAGTTTGAGTTACCATGGGCAGCCCTGCTTCCCGCACTCTGGGCCAGGGAGGGGCCACAGTGGCGTGGGCAGCCTGATCTGGTCTTTCTCCCAGCCAGGCCAGTGCCAGGGGACGCTGGCAGAGACCTGGACTCCCCTAATGGTCAGCTCAGGGAGCCCGTGGGCCTGAGCGGGAGCTGCTGCTCGTTTTCCTTGGCTGGGGGCATGTCCGGTTCTTTGTGGCCAGAAGCAACAGGGAGTGGGATAGGTTCTTACTGTCCCGGAGGCTTTTCTGCATCCCACGGGGCCAGCTCTGGCCTCTCTGGGAGGAGGCTGTGTTCTTGGCATTGGGTAGAGCTGAGGCATCACTTTCGGGCTGCCCTTGCCCTCATCTTGGGCAGAGAACCACGGCCGAGCATGGGATGCTGACCCTAGGAGGGTGCAAGCTCTGGGGAGGGTGCAGTGCACCCATGTGCTCAGACCTTGGTGTCCTGCTGTGAAGTGGCCCCAGCACTAGGACGTGTGCCCGTGAGCAGACAGACTGCCAGGTGGCTCCCATATTGGGACAGGTCTGGTGTGGACAGGATCACCGGCTGAGGCTGCGGGCAGGAGGGTAGGGGGCAGGCTCAGGATGGGCCTGCACGTGGAGTGCCTTTCCTATTCCGTGTGTGGTGCAGGGTGAGCAGGAGGCAGGATGGAGTCCGTGCCATACCTGGGCCTCATGGCCTGGGCCGTGTTCTTGTTCGCCTGTGGGACCCGCTGATGCTGAGTCTGCCTGTCTCAGGCTGGGGGAGAGCAGCACCCTGGTGTGGGAAGAAGGTGCGTTCTGAAAGTCATGGTAATGATGAAGGCGCCAGGTAGCCACCAACTTGTGTGTGTTAGGGGTGGCGCTGATTAATTTTAAGTCCATATGAGGGCAAGAGTAAGACCCTGGTTAGGATGCCCACGACTCATGTTGCAGTACTTGAGTTTGATGCCAGACTGCGGTTCCTGACTCCAGCTTCCTGCTAATGCAGACCCTGGGAGGCAGCAGGTGATGGCTTAAGTAGTTGGGTTCCTGCCACCAACTGGGGAGACCTGGATTCAGTTCCTGGCTCTCAGCTTTGGCCTGGCCCAGTCCCAGTTATCGCATTGTTGGGGAGTGAACTGGCAGGCAGGAAGCTCTGTCTCTGCCTCTCAAATAAATCAGAGATTTGGAAGCCTAGGTGGAGTGTTGTGCAGTGACTTCTGCCTGGGGTACTTGTCACACACTTGCCTTTTGCAGAATGCCGTAGAAATGGGATTGTACGGTAGATGGCCTTTTTCTCAGCATGATTCCCTGGAGACTCCCACACGTCTTTGTATTCGTCAGTTGTTTGTTCCTTTGCTGCCCAGCGTCCAGGCTCATTTGGGTGTTTATGCATAGAGCTACCGTGAACGTTTGTGTACAGGTTTTTGTTTGCTCCTAAGTTTCCATTTCTAAGTATCTAGTGTGGGGAGCAACTCGGGACTAGACTAAGTTACTGGAATTAAGACTTATTCTATGCATCTGCTCTCCCACAATATGGCGCTGGGAGAGGAGGAAACAACTTCTACACAGCTGCCTCTCGTCAATTTGATTGACTGAGCTGCAGGAGCTGATCTTGCTCCTGATTGGAGGAGAGCAGCGTACTTGGCGTGTGGGTAGCAGAGTTGGGATTGGTGGAAGAGGACTATAAAGGAGGAGAGAGACAACATGCACCAGGAACATCTATCTGAAGGAACACCTGAGCAGCCCCCGAGAGAGCCGGCCGGCAGTGTGCCGCTCCCCCGCGGAAGTGGGGAAAGTGGCTAGGGGGAACCGCCCTTCCACGGAGGTGGAAGGATCGGCAGCCAACCCGGGAAGAACCAGCAGCAAACCCGGGGAGGGCCGAGCAGACAAAAGAACAGTGCAGGGTCCAGTGTCGTTCCTCCACGAAGAGGGGGAGCGACAATCTAGGAATGGAATACCTAGTGATGTGATGTATGCATGTTTAATTTTGTAAAAAACTGCTGAGCTATTTTCTAGCACACCTACCTACTTCATATTCTCACCAGTGATGAGTTCCAGTTGTCCATGTTCTTGCCAACACTTGATACTTTTTTAAAGTAGCATACTTCTATTTTCTTTAAGATTTGTTCATTTGAAAGGCAGAGTTCAGAGAGAGAGAAAAAGATCCTTTCATGTGCTGACTCACTCTCCAAATGGCTACAACCCCAGGAACTTGGCCAATCTGGAGTCAGGAGCCAGGAACTTCCAGGTCTCCCACAAGGGTGTAGGGGCCCAGTACTTGAGCTATCCTCTGCTGCTTTCCCAGGTGCATTAGCAGGGAGCTGGATCAAAAGTGGAGCAGCCCTGCTTTTTCTTCTGTGCCTCCCCTGTATATTCTAATGCCTCTCTGTGTTATTTGGTGCCGTTTGGTCTGAGATTTTAAAGTTGCGCTCACAGCTTCACCCCCAAGCCAAAAAGGATGGCATTGAATTCCAATGACGGGTAAGACTCGGTCTCCTTGTACCAACCTAAGACAGGAGCCTCAGAGGATGTCTGGGCAAGAAGAGACGTGGGCAACCTAAGACAGGAACAATGCCTCAAAAAATAAAGGGGGAAATGTGGGCAGCCGCAGGCAGTCGCCCCTTCTGTTTACGCTTAAGCATATAGATGGAGACATCCCGGCACAGACAAAAGGCTAAGGAGGTTCCCGGAAGAGGCAAGAAGAACCCTATCTCACTGTTACACTTCTCACAAGAGAGACGTAGATAATCAGTCACACTGAAACCTGCATTTATCCCTTAGGTGTTTTATTGTACCCTTGTAATCAATGATTACATTTTACGATCTGTTAAGTAGAAGAACCTTGTGGGGAACTCTTTGTAACCCCAAAAGTCTTTTAGATATGTAAATCTTTTGTGTGCTGGTTATGTTTAAATACTACTGGATTTGTTGAATAAACGAGCCTTGATCAGGAAAAAAAATAAAAAAGTGGAGCAGCTGAGACTCAAACTGGCACCCATATGAGATGCTGGCGCCACAGATGGCAGCTTTATCCGCTCCACCACAGAGCTGGCTCTGCCAACATCTGATTTTTTCTCCCCTTTGATTTTAGCCATTCTAATAGGTGTGCAGTAGTGTTTCATTATGCGTCTAATTTGTGCTTCCCTGCTTGGCTACTAGTATTTGGAAATCGTTGTGCTTTTCCATCTGTCCGATTAGATGGAATGTCTGTTCCAATCTGTAGTACATTTTATTTTCATTTTTATTTGAAAGGCGGAGATATCTTCCATCTGCTGATTCACCCCCCAAGTGCCTGCTACAGCCAGAGCAGGGCTACACCAGTACCAGGAGCCTGAAGCTCTGACTCTCCCTGTGGGTGGCAGGGACCGAAGTACTTGTGCCACCACCTGCTGCTTCCAGGGTGCACGTTAGCAGGAGCCTGGATTGGGAGCAGAGGTGAGGAGTTGACCAGGCACTCTGATGTGGGAAGTGGGTGTCACAAGTGGCGGCTTGACTCTCTGTGCCAAATGCGTTTGTGACTGGATTGCCACGCTGCTGGGGAGTTTGCTGCTGTTTTACTGAGGAGGTGTAATTGATATACAGTAAATGTCACATAATTAAAGTGGACAGTTGGACACATTTCAACACCTGTGACACCATCCCCACACTCAAGATAAAGAACATCTCCATTGTTCCCAAAGTCTGCCTCCCCCAATGCGCCCCCCGCACTTCCCTTCCCCAGGTCCCCACTAACCCGCCTGCTGTGGCTCTGGGTCAGTTTGCATTTCCTAGAATTTTACATAAATAGACTGGCACTGTTTACTCTTTCTGCCTTCTTTTGCCCGACGCGATTATTTTGAGACTTGTTCCTGTGGAAGCGGGTGTCAGTACTTCCTACCCTCTCTGTGGAGTACGGGTGTATTTCATTGTGTGGAGGTGCCACTGTTTGTTCAGCTGCTGCCAGACGCTGGGGTGGTTTCCATTCGGGGCCTTTTGTGCGATTTAAAGAAAATGACCAAAATTCACAGCCAAGCGGCTGGGCCGTTTTGGAATTCCATCGCAGTGTATTCCTTCAGCAGTTCCACGTGCTGCACTTTAGCTACCCTGCTGAGTGTGCAGTGGCATCTCAGTGTGGCCTTAGCTTGTGCTTCCTTGTGGAACAAAGATGTTCTGTAGGATTTCCGGTCCTTACTTTCTATTAGCATGTCTTCTTTGTTGAAGTATTCAGATCTTTTCTGCTTTTTAAATTTGTTTTTATTTTGTTTTATTACTGAATCTTGACAGTTCTTCAGATTCAATACACAGATTCTTTGCCAGATCTGTAGGCAAGAGTTTTCTTCCTGTCTATAGATTTCTCTTTGCATTTTTTTTTTTTAAAGATTTCATTTATTTGAAAGAGTTACAGAGAGAGGTAGAGACAGAGAGAGAGATCTTCCATCCACTGGTTCAGTCCCCAGAAGGCCACAACGGCCAGAGCTGAGCTGATCCTTAGCCAGGAGCCTCCTCTGGGTCTCCCACGTGGGTGCAGGGGCCCAAGGACTTGGGCCATCTTCTGCTGCTCTCCCAGGCCATAGCAGAGAGCTGGATTGAAAGAGGAGCAGCCGGGACTTGAACCGGTGCCCATATGGGATGCCAGCGCTTCCAGCCTTTATGTATTGAAAAGGCAGAGTGACCAGGAACTCCATCTGAGCCTCTCTTGTGGGTGGCAGGGACCCGAATTCTTTCTGCTTCCCAGGATGCATTAGCAGGAAGCAGAGCCTTCGGATATGGAAAGCAGCCACACTCCTGTCCCTTGTTAATAGTTACCTATCTCTCAGAGAGGAAAAGTCAAGCTTTTCATTTTTTTTCTCTTATGGATTATGCTTATCGAAAGTATTTGATACTTATTTATTTTTACATTTGTTTTGGAAGGTAGAGACAGAGAGCTCTCCCTCCATTGATTTACCCCTGAGATGCCCGCAACAGCTGGAATTGGGCCAGGCTGATACTGGGAGCTGGGAATTCCATCTGGGACTCCCAGGTGGGTTGCAGGATCTGAAGCACTTGAGCCATCACTGTCCTTCCAGGGGACACATTAGTAGGAAGCTGGAGATGGGGCCCAGTGTGGGGACTCCACACCAAGGACCCAGGTGGTGTCTTAACTGCTATACTAAATGCCTACCCCAAAACTTTTTAAAAAATCATGAATGGTTAATTAATGAGTTTGGCCCAATACATTGTATTAATTGATTCTGTGGTTTTTCTTTAGTGTTCTAGTATGAATGTAATAGTGCTTGGATTTGGGGTATTGAATCATGTTCATTCCTGAGATACTCTGCAGCTGACTGTGATGTATTTTTATATACTGCTGGATTTGATGTGGTTGAGGCATTTTATGTCTATATCCATGAGGGATAATGTTTAGTGGTTTTCCATTTTTGTGCAAACTGATTTGGTATTAAAGTATTGCTAGCCTCAAAGTTAGAAAATTTACTCTTATTTTTCTGGAAGAAAAAAATATGTATGTTTTAAAAACCTAGTGTTATTTTTTTTAATGTTTGGTAGTATTTGCCAGTAACATAATGTGGACTGGAGTGTTTTTTTTTTTTTTTTCTTTTTTCTTTTTTGGCAAGGATTTAATATGAAAATACATTCCTCAAATCACTGTGGGGCTCTTCTGGTCATCTCTTTCTCCACCTATTCTGAGTCTTTCAACTGTTATTTTTGCTAAAGTAATCTAATTTTTGTGCATTGAGTTGGTCATGATATAACATCTTTTAACATTTCTGATATCTGTAGTGATAATCCTTTTATTTATTTATTTATTTATTTATTTATTTAATTATTTGGAAGGCAGAGTTACAGAGAGGCAGAGAGAAAGGTCTACCATCTGCTGGTTCACTCCCCAAATGGCTGCAAAGGCCAGAGTTGGGCCTATTCAAACCCAGGAGCCAGGAGCTTCTTCCAGGTCTCCCACGTGGGTGCAGGGGCCCAAGCACTTGGGCCATCTTCCACTGCTTTCCCAGGCCACAGCAGAGAACTGGATTGGGAGTGAAGCAGCCAGGTCTCAAATCAGTGCCCATATGGGATGCTGACACTGCAGGTGGTGGGGTTTACCCACGTGCCACAGCACCATCCCCCAATTTTATTGATATTTTTAAAAAACATCCTCTGTTTTTTCTTCTGGGTTTTTAAAAATTTTCTCTATGATTTTGTTATTCTCTATCATTTATTTTTGTGTAATTTTATTGTTTCTTTGCTTACTTTGGGCTTATTTTGCTGTTTTTTTTTCTAGTTTAATGAAGAAGCCAACTGGCTGTTTAGAGACCTTTCTTTTCTTGTGATGTCAACATCTGACACTGTGAATTTCCCTCTAGGAGAGTGACTTCAGCAAGATGGCTGAGTAGAGCTGCCTGTCGCTCGTGCCCTCTGCAGAAGGGCTCGCCACAGAGAGTCCACGGCTGCATTCTGACTGTACGCTGCGTAGTGGCAGGGGAGCAAGTGAGAGCCCCCCGGAGCCCAGGAATCCAGCACAGCACCACAGAGAGGACAGCGAGGCCCCCGTTGCCTGTGGACAACCACACAGACGCTCCCAGCCCTCAGCACCCTTGACCGCAGCGTGGAGTGGCGTGCCAGAGTTTTAGTGTCAGAGTACGAGTCCACGTCATCTACCCTCGTTGCTTGTGACCTCTGCTCCTATAGCTCTGTGCCGTCTTGAAACTGGACCTGGTGCTGGAGTGCATCACCCCGCACAGTCCCACTTTGGAGCCTCTGCTGTCATCCCCCCGCTCTCCCCCTGCACTCACACAAGTGGCTGCAGCACCGTGCGCCCTGCTACTCACAACCTAGGGCTAGCGGAACAACTGAAGAAGACACACACAGAGTGCAGCGCTGTGCCCACCCACGATCAAAGCTGACACATCACAGCAAATCGATACCTTTGTTTTTCTCTAGAGAAAGAAAATACCTGTAAAACTGGAAAAAATTACTGTTGCACTAGCACAGATACCAACGTAGAGACACCAGAAACATAAAACAGCAAGGAACCATGCCACCTTCAAGGCAGCACATTAAGCTTGCAACAGCACCTCTCGAAGAAGAGGAAGTTAAAGAAATGTCTGACAGGGAATTCTGTGTACAAATCTTGAAGTTGCTCCGTGAGATAGAGGCAAATCTCAGTCAACAGCTTGAAGATATGAAAAAGTCGATTCATGATTTCAGTAATGTAGTCAGTGTGGGGAAAGATACCGAAGAAAAGAACCAACAGGAAGTCTTGCAGCCGAAGAACTCGGTGAACAAAGTAAATGCATTTGAGTGCTACAACAAGAGACTAGATCGTTTAGAAAGAAGGATTTCTAAAGTCGAAGATAGGTCTTCTGAATTAATCCAGTCAGGAAAAGACAAGGAAGAAACATTGAAAAAGTGTAAAGAAAGCGTGCAACACCTACAGGACACCATTAAGCAAACAAATATTCGCATTTTAGGAATTCCAGAGGGAGAAGAAATGGAGAAAGGCACAGAAAGCATCTTTTATGAAATAATAGCTGAAAACTTCCCAAGTCTTAGAAAAGACACAGACATCCAGATCCAGGAAGCTCAACGAACCCCAAGTAGACACGACCCCAAGAGGTCTTCTCCCAGGCACATTGTGATCACGCTGTCCAAAGTCAAAGACAAAGAGAGAATTCTTAAGGCTGCACGAGGAAAACGCCAGGTCACGTACAAGGGGACTCCTGTTAGGCTGACGGCAGACTTCTCGGCAGAAACCTTGCAGGCCCGGAGAGAGTGGAATGATGTGTTCAGAGTGCTGAAAGGGAAGAACTACCAGCCGAGAATCCTGTACCCAGCAAGGCTAACCTTCAGACACGAAGGGGAAGTCAGGTCCTTCTCAGATAAGCAGAAGCTAAGGGAATTCATCACCACTAGGCCAGCCTTGCAGGAAGCGCTCCAGGAAGTCCTACCTCTAGAGGCAGTACAGTAACTGCCCTCAGGAAAGCCACTGAAGTGTACAGTCATTAGTAGAGTAGATACACAGATGAGCCAGAAAGCGATTAAGCGTTACCACTGCAGTCACCAAACACAAAGTTTGACAGTAAGAGAGGAAGAGATTGACAGGACACACAAGACAGCCAGAAGACACTGGACAGAATGACGGAAGTACGTTGTTACTATTAGGAATAACCTTAAATGTAAATGGGTCCAGCTCCCAGAAGAGTATAGTATAGACTGGATGAGAACCAAAATTCAGCTGTGTGCTGCCAATGAGAAACTTACTTCAGACACATTAAATAATGAAAAAAGGACTGTTCACAAAGGTGGTAACCATTGTGAGCACATACACACACTACTGTAAATCAAGGTGGTAACCACCGTGAGCACATATACACACTACTGGAAATCAAACTCTGTTACATTTAGAGGAAGGGAGAGGCTGCTCGACAATAGAAGCTGGGGACCTCAGCACCCACGTGGCAACG